AAAGGACGACGCCCTATAGGGGTACCATTCGGTCGCTGTGGGAAGCAACTGCAGAGACACCGGGCGGGGTTCCCCGCAGACCTGCCAGCCCCGCGTCGCCCCCTGTCGCCCCCTGCGAGTGGAGAGGGCTCAGGGTCTGCGCGGACTACGCCCTGGGCCCTAGGCGGAACGACGCAGACGCTCAGGGGACACGAACTGATAAGCCAACTGTGTGCACGTACAGAGTGGAGCGTTAGTCAACATCAAAAAGGAATGCAGTGCGAGGGTGCTGGGGCGCTCAGCAGAGAGGCAGAGGCAGACACAGGTCTCGCGGGGCGCCTTTCTGCGATAGCACTTCCGCCTGCCCCCGCGTGGCTTCCGGCTGGCCCCGCGAGTGAAGGCCGGAGGGTCCCTGCGGGAGAGGCACGGGGCTTTCTGCGGAGTGCTGAGTGTTTGGAGGGTTGCACAATATTTTGAATGTACTCAGTGCTACAGAATTATTTACTTTAAAATAGTCATTTTGTGTGTGAATTTCCTTTCAGATGAAATGTGTGTGTTGATGAAAGGAACAGTCTACCAGGGATTTTTCTTGCTGTGCAGAACATTGTTAAGAAAAGAATGAGAAGCCTGAGCCTTCTGTCCACTTTCCTGCTTCCCTTCAGTGTTGGGCCTGGTTGGCAAGGTATTGGAAAGCCTGGCCCTGGCCCAGCCCTAGGTATTCTGCAGCTGCCCCTGATCACAGGGAGCCCTGTATTCGGCCGCGCCTACCCTGCCCTCCTGCAAGCCTGAAGGGCACAGCAGGCCTGGCAGGATCATGGGGGAAGGGAGACCTGAGGCTCATGACTGGAGGGTTCTGCTCCAGCACCCTAGGAGTATCAGCTCCTCAGCTGCTTAGCTCCTTACAGTGATGAGAGCCCCCAGAATTTGCTCTAAAGTCGGTGTTGAGTCAGCACTTAACTGCAGATACAGAAAGTTAACTATAGGTCACAGAATAGCGCTTTCCCTCTCTGTGACACTTCCCATGGTTTGTAGCAGACACAGGATCTAAAAGGTGCGAGATCTTTTCATCATTCCATGGAATACTGACTGTTCAGGTGCTGGGAGACAGTTACAATAAAGAGAGATGTCCTTGAAGGAGCTACCACTTTACAGAAGGCTGAAGTAGGACTGGAAAAGCAGACAGGAAATGTCAGATCTTTTGTGGCAAAGACGTGATCTTACAACTCAGGTGCATTTGAATGGTGAATCATGAGATGGTATGGGTTGAACTCAGAACAAAGAAAGCTGTTGTTTGTGCACAAGTTCAGCTCCCTGCCTTTGTTAGCCAGGCCACAGGCCACTCTGAGGTAAGACAGAAAAAATAAAAAGTAGGTAGAAAGGAGACAAGCAAATGGAAAGTTTAAGAGTGTACTTTTAAGAAAAAAAAAAAAAAAAAAAAAAACCTGTACCTTCAAGACAAGCGGCCCCCCACCCTTCTGGAGGTTCCTCTAGCTTGTGACCCTGGCCCCATCCTTTCATCCTTAGAATAGTGTTAAATTGCTAAAAGTCCTTTCACCATAGCATATAAATCCTGGGTACTGGGCCTGTCTTTCTCACCTGTGAACTGTGCCTGCAGCTTGCCTTTCCTCCACCCCAGGAAGCAGCTGCACTGGGTCCTCATGTCTAACTTCAGACTGTGGTAGACTGCAGCTGCAGGGTAACCCAACAGAGGGTGAGAATACACATCCTAGATCTCCTAGCTTGAAGCTTAAATGTGGCTTGTTCAGCTTGCGAAGTTCTCATTTTTCTGAGCATTTGCACTCCAAGGGATTGCGTCCAAATACACCCTTCTCCCGTCTGTATTTTATGGTCACATCCTGAAAATTATTTTTCCAGGACAAGACTCAGTGAATCTGCAAATTTAATTTAAGAGTGGGATAGGTACTTTATTTCAGCCTTGGTGACCTCGCAGACTCAACCCAGTAATAAGCACCAGGCTTCACTTCTGAGTATAACTGGATGTCAGCCGCAGGCACTTGGGTAGAAAGAAGAGACATTTAGGTCCCTTTTTGTCCTGTGCTCCAGACCCAGAAGGGTCAGGACATAAGGCCTCCATTCTGGAGCCAGACCACAAGATGCTCATTACCTCACTGTTTTCTCCAAGTGAACCAACATGTCAGTCAAACTTGGGCAATAAGAGTGTGTGCTTCTGACACACTGTCCTGCAGTAATGCAAGGCCTGCCTAGAGACAGGCTGCTACTTCTGTACTGTTTGTCCACCAGTTTAGTGGGCTGAGAACTTGAATTTCTCATCTGAAGGAAGTTGGATTTATATCTGTGCAATGACCTAAACTTCTTTTATTAATGTAGCACACAGTATCTGGATTCCTTCCCATGACTGTAATTCGGTATATAAAGATTATCATCTTAGACTCTAATTATAGGAGCTACCTTTTGCCATGTGTCCCTATGGAAATTTGAGGCTAGAGAATATATCACTGTATAATTAAGAGAACATAAAGGGCTTCCTTTAATTGGGTACTTTCTTCACTGCTCCCTTAATGTACTTGAATATGTTTGAGTTTAATATATTTAAATCTTTTTTTTTTTTGGTACTGGGGATCAAACTCGTGACCTTGTGCTTGCCAGGCAGGTACTTGTGCCACTGAGCTAAACCCCCAGTCCCCATATATTTGAATCTGTAACCTTTTGCTACAACTACTGGTAAAAATGAAATACATGAAGTTTTTTTCTCATATAATTTTTTAGAGATACACAATATATACCTCAAAATTACTCTTCATTGTATAATTCAGCTATTTTAGTACATTTTTAATTTATGTAAGCAATGGCATAGTCTAGCTTTTGAATAGTTTTCATGCCACATAGCTTAGGCATTTTAGCAGTGGTTTCCTATTTTCTCCCTATACAACCTGGCAAGTATCAATTTGCTTTCTGGCTCTGCATTTGCCTATTTTGGACGTTTTGTTGTTTTTGTTTTTGTGAGACAGGGTCTCAATATGTACTCTAAGCTGGCCGTGAACCCGCCTGCCTCAGTCTCCCAAGGGCTGGGATTGCAGGCAATTCATCACCACGCCTGGCTTATTTTGGACATTCAATAAAAATGAAATCATGCAGTATATATTTTTTGTCTAATGTTTTCAAGGCCTACCCATGTGATATCATGCAGCAGTATTTCATTTTTTATGGCTGAATAGTATTTTCAATGAACATACAACATTCTGCTTAGTAATTCATCCATTGATACACACATAGATTGTTTCCACCTTTTAGCTCTTATATAATACAACTATGAACACTCATATCCACATTTTTTTGTGGACATGTATTTCATTTGGGTATATTCTTACAAGTAGATTGCTGGTCACATGATATTATCCCTCTACATCTTTAACCTTTTGTCAAACATGTATAAAGCAGCTATGCCAGTTTGCATCTCCACCAGCATATAAGAAGCTTCTCTATGTCTTCACCAATGGTTATGGTCCTTATAGGTGAAGTGATGTCTGTATAATTTTTTGGGCCAGGGTATAGGAATTGAACTCAGGACCTCACACTTGTCAGGCAGGTGCTGTGTCACTGAGCTAAACACCCACCCCAATATTTGTATGATTTTGATTGGGGTCCCAGGGTGGCTAATGAGGTATACCAACTATGCACTTTTAGGCATATCTGTATCTTCTTTGCAAAAATACTTTCCTAATTTATAATTAGGTTCTTTTTATTGTTATGTGTTCCTTTCTTTTATTTATTTATATATGTATGTACATAAGTACGCATTTGTTTGTTGACACAGCCTCTCACTATGTAGGCCAAGCTGGCCTCAAACTCATGGCTGTCCTCCTGCCTTGGCCTCTTGATAATTGGGTTAAAACATGTGTGCCACCATGCCTGGCTAAGTGATCCTTTAATATTTTCTTCCAGTCTGTGATTTTTCCTTTTCACTTTCTGAATAGCATCTTTGGGAGTATAAAAGTTCTTTTGAAGTCCCAGCTATTTGTGTTTCTTTTGTTGTTTATGTTTTGTATCTAAGAAGTCCTTACCTCACTGTTGATGGAGATTTCTCCCTATGTTTTCACTGAAGGGTTTTATGGCATTAACTACTTCATTTTAGATTAATATTTGTATACAGTATGAGGTAGCAGACCAGCATTCCTTTGCATGTAGATATCCAGTTGTCCAACAACCTTTATTGGAAAAACTGTTCTTTCCTTACTGAATTGTCAAGTTACTTGTCAAAAATCAATTAACCCTGGATATATGAGTTAACATCTATATACTCAATTCTATTCCATTTATCAATATCTATTATTTATTGACCCTTTACATAACTTTGTCTTTTTGGTTTTTGGGTTTTGTTTTGGTTTTTTGAGCCAAGGTCTCACTATGAATTCCGAATTGCTCTTTGACTCACTATGAAGCCCAGGTTGACCTCCGCCTCCCAGGGGCTGAGATTACAGGCATGTGCCATCATATCCAGTGAACTGTTAAGTAATTTTAAAATCAGAAACATAAAGAAAGAAATCAAAAAGTGAAAAACCTTCAATTTTCTTGTTTTCTTTTTTTAGGCAGGGTCTTATAATATAGGTCAAGCTGGTTTTAAACTTACTATATAGTCCGGGCTGGCCTCAAACTTACAACAGTTCATCCTCCTGCCTCAGCTCCAAGAGTACTGGGATTACAGACCTGAGTCACTATGCCCAGCTCTCCCTATAAATTTTTATTTGGAGACCATGTGACGTGACAAGTGAGGAAACCTGGCATTTAGCAAGCTGACAAGCCAAGATGCCCGCTGGTGGGACTGTGTTTGATTTAACATCAGCAGACTCTGCCCTTGCTTTCCTGCTGCCTCATTTAACCGAAAGTTACCCTAGGGCGGGCAGGGCAGGTTACTAAGAAAAGACTCAACCCTTGCAGCTTCTAGATTTTACTCTTAAAGGTACTGGACATATCTACAGTGATGGACCATAGACAGTCCCCAGGAAACTATATCACAGCCAAAAAGCTTCCAGACAGTGCAGTCAGATTCACTTCACTTTTATTATGAACAAACATGATCTCAGATCAGTACAGCTAGCTTTGGAATTGCTGTTAATGAAAGTCATTTCAAAATTTATTCTCAGGTTACAAATAACTATTTCACATAAAAAGGGAAAAAAAATCACACCCAGGCAAGGAAAAAGTATACTACCTTATGTTTTCATGGCAATAAGTGTGCTTTCTCAAATGTCTTTGTTGTATACCACTTCACCAATGGAAGTACTGAATCCCTTGAAAGAACCATGTAGACTAATGATGGTATCCAAAACATAAAGACAAGTCACATTCATGGCAGACACTACTATAAAGGTCTGCATGACTTGACAGTTCCTCGGCTGAGGATGCCAAAATGCTTGATAGACGCTTAGTCACACCCCAGAATTGCTGTTTGAGGTAGGTCAGTATGATTACCCCATTGTAACAGAAGGAAAAGTGAGGCACATTGCAGTTAAGTGATTTGCCTAGTACAGTGGTTTGTGTCCCTCATGTGTGCGAGTTAGAAAGTTCACCCCCAGTGCAACAGTTTTTGAAAGGTAGGACATTTAAGAGGCGAGTCGTCAGAAGGGTTTCAAAGAGATTAATGACCTTTTCTCAGAAGTATGTTTGTTATAAAACAGAGGGTTAGATAGAAGTGAGTAGCTCTGTGGTAGGAAAGGCCTGCTTTAGCTACCAGTATAACATGATCACACTGCTTGGTGTGCCTTTCACAGTGACCCATGTGAGTTACACTTACAGAGAATACACTTAGGATACTTGCGAGCTAAGGAGAAAACTTTCCATTTTAACCACCATTATTTCATAAATCACACATTCAGATCACTTCCAGCCCTCATCACTGTTGTGCTCTTAGTAAAAAGAGCCCTGAAGTTTCCAAAATGAAACCCAGAAAAGAATCCTGCTCATCACTGTACTGATAATTCTCTGTGCAGTCTCCTGCTGCAGGCTCCAAGGTGGTGAAGAACTCCCCAGACGGAGTGAGGCCAGGCTTACAGGCTTCAGTGGGATTAGAAAACAGGTAAGGCACTGGGTAGGTTGACAGTACATCAACATGATACGGTCTGTTAGAAATTCACTCTCAAGATCAGTTTCTAATTAATGTACCATTTGAATTGAGCTTTAGAGTCTCACTGAAGTGTTCCTCACTGAATAGACACATCCCTACCTACATGCCCAAATATATATATGCTAAGGCTCTCGTTCTGTGATCTCCATCTCCAGCCTTTATGTAGGGACATAGCTTGGATCGTGGAACAGGATTAGAAAAGAAAGTTGATTTTATTGTCTTTATATTATAAAGCAGGCATCTGATGATCTTTATAATTAAATCCACCTAACAGGCAATGGGCAAAGCACATAGGTCAACAGATCTAACTTACAGCGAACTTCCATGAGACGCTTTTCTCTTTTAATGAACAAGTACAAGGCTCCCCTAGTGCAGGCTGGTGACTGTAGCCTCTATTCAGTGGACATGGGAACTGCCCCCTCCCACCCCTGGGGTCAACAGTAGACAAAACATTTGGTACTAGGCAGGCACTGCTAATCCTACAGAGCAGAGCCGGGCTCCCACATTGACATCTGCAGTACAGAAACAGGATAGGTCTCAGGTCTTCAAAACAGATAATGCTCAGCCAAGTCCAAGGCATCTCAGCTCCAGTGTCTCAAAGACCAGTAGCACAGCCTGGCCGCAGAGACTGGGGTTTCATTTCAGTGGGAGGCACCTGGGAACTTGCCCTTGCAGTTGCTTTCTACAACCATTACACTGATAAGTGATAACTGCTGCTCAAATGAAGGAGCGTTGCTGAGCATATAGGAAACTAAGAATCCTGTTTTGACCCATGGAAAATATAAGTGCCAAAGCCAATTCACTGGCCTTGTTCCATCAGAGAGCCTCTCCAAGTCACTGACATTTCTGCAAGTTGTGCAGAATCTCTTTTGGAGTCACGGGGGTTTGCGGGGGAAAGGCTGGGTATAGTGAAACTGCAGGGAAATGGAGCAGCTCACAGAAAAGTGGCAGCCACCTTCATCAGCAAGTCTTGTAAGCCCAGAGCCTGTGAGCATCATGTCTGGAGAAAAAGGGGCTGCCTGAAATGGCACAGAAGGAAGCAAAGGTCAGAGAAAGAGACAATCGGGGAACCAAGAATCAGGGCAGTTAATGATTTTTACCCTCCTCCCAGGCAGTCACATATATAGGCTGATGGTCCCAGGGCAAGGAATGAGTGAAAGGGTGGATTGCCTTAGAGAAACGACTAATTTGTATCCAATCTGTAGCAAATGGGACTAGTAAGTAGAGGTATCACTGAACTTGATCCATTAGAATACATACTAACTTAGTTCTGAATTATTCTCAGAGCCCTTTGTAAAGTTATCTAAGGAGCTTCTGGAGAGGCTGCTCCTGTCTTCTCTCCAGTGATGGGAGGAAGGACAAGCAGCTAATTCCTTTTCTCTAAGTTTCCTTAGCTTTTCTTTCAGAAGGAAATGTTAATTACTTTCATGTTCCCAGGAAAGACTATATGTCTAAATATTTTTGTTTGACTCAATTCCACCTGCTAAAATCCTCCCATTTCTGGACGTGTAGAAATGTCATAGAAATCCTATTGCTGGGAGGGAACAACAAATATCCTGAAAACGGAGAGCAGAAATATCAAAGGAGTTAGATGAGCAGCTCATGGAACGCTCAAAACTCTGAGCTGTCATATCTACCCATTCGGGTCACACCTAACCTGAAGACTTCTAGGAAGAACTCTTCTTATTACTAGAAAATGCTTCTCAGCAGAGGCTGCTTCTACAAAATAAATGCTTCATCTTTATCTTTAATCACAGACTTGCTACTGTGCTCTACCCAACTGTGCTCACCCAACTCCTGGCAGAGTCGGAGAGAAAGGCAGTGCCCTGTATGGAGGGCTCCCTGTGTTTGCTAGCCAGGCAGCTGAACCCCATCACCTCTTCCCACTTCCCATCTCTATCCTATACATATGCATGAACCATATCCCACGGCTAGCTGTTTCCTGATGATCTACCTGCTTTACAAGTTGTGTGCCAGACATTTTTCCATTCCATCAAGTAATGCCCGGCTTGAAGATAGTTAGCAGAGGGACATTCCAGAAAGTCTCATCTCTAGCTTGAGCCACCTACCTTGAAGCTCAAGTCAGATCAAACAGTTACATGGAGAAAAAGCATCACCTTTAGAGCTTTAGAAAAGCTGTCTACACTTTACAAGGTGGGTACAGATTGGTGACTGACCAGCGATTTGCCTGGGAGGCTATAAGAAGAGAAAAGGTGACAGAAACAGTGCAAAGTACAATACAAAGAAGACAGAAGAGAGAATCTATTTAACATAATAAGAGCATAGTTGTTGGCTTTGAGTTCTCTTTTTAAAGAATGTTCCAATTTATTATTTATTTTTAAAAATCGACACAAAATTGCATGTATTTTTCATGTACAACAGGTTTGTACATATATCGTGATATGGTTAAATCTGGCTAATTAAAATATCTACTACCTTAAAAAGTTATCAAAACTTTCCCATCTTAAAGAATACTGTATTGGAACAGGTTAATATCATCTTTAGCATCCTGGTAGCATTTTTCAGTAGTTAATTAACACATTAAGCCTCTGACAGCCTGGCTTTTGGAAAAGAAACTCAGATGACCCAATTCAACCACTCTTGTAGCTTCCATCTCCAGTTCTTTTAATCCTGGCCAAGATGGTGGCCTTGGACACTTTCTTCCGGTCATAAACCAGACCAAGGGCAGCCATGCAATCGATGAAGAATGTGGTAAAGTTGATGTGCCAGCGATACTCACTGGCAGAGTAGTCATAGGGGAAGGAATGGTGATAGTTGTGGAAGCCCTCGCCTGAAACAAAGCAAGGAGAGAAGTTATGGAGCTCATTGCTCTCTTCCTCATCTTGGCAGACCTATTTTCTGGCATGGTACCTCAAACCTCAGAGAAAACAGCTGTTAGTGAATGAACTGATGAACCCATTGTCTTCAGTTCTGAAGCAAATATCCTCAGAGGCATATTCACCCCTGACTGTGTAGGGGCCTTGGTGAGAGGATGTTTCTCTCAGAAGATAGTACAGGAAAAGAATTTTATAGTGGGAAATAACAGAGCTTCAATTTTAAGAGAACACTGGACCAAGACTCCACAGGCTCTTGTACATGTGTTGGGGCAGAGAGAGCAGAGTCCAAAGGAGGAATTCCTTTCTCCTACCAGGGTGGGAGGTTTTGGGAGAATGGGCCTCAGCTGGCAAAACCAGAGGGAAGGAGGCCCATAGAGGGGCTGGGTTGACTTAGTCACTGCTGGCTCACAGTGAGTTCTTCTGGCTTCTAAGTCTCTAAACTTTGACCCTAAAATGGGGGAGGTGTTAATAATACTTAAAGAGATTCCCAGAGAGTCTGAGAACTCTGGTATGAATGCTTCATAGTGCTGCAGAGAAAAATTTTCTGTCATTGGTTAAGTGTTTGCCAACTATTGGCACATCTTTCTGACTTGATTCCAATACTAACAATACTGACTTATCAGAACAGATTAAAAAGCAACTAATGAAGTTGTTGGACACTTTGTAGATAACATCATCCAAGACAGGGTAGTAATGCTATCACTAACAAGCAAGGGAAGGAAGTCTCACTTGAGCACAATCTCACCAAGGGCTTTGAATAGCTCACCCTGCATATGGGTTGCTCACAGTATGAGCTCTGTGCAATCATGCCAAGGCCAAGGAGCCAACAGAGCAGGGCTGGCTTCCACATGACCTCTCAGAGGCAGGCTCTGGGGAGAGGAGGGTCACAGGTGGCAAGAGACAGCCCAAGGAAGGCTGAGGGGACAGTGAGCTGTGTCAGAGAAGATGAGCATGGGACTCTGAGGGAGAAAATTCAAGAAGCAAAGAGAACTATAGAAGAAAAAGGGCAAGGTAAAAGGAAAGAGTAGGTTTGTAGAAGTCAGTGACAAAGTGAGAGGCTGGTGGCTATTCTGAACTGATGGTCACAGAGGATACAAGTAGGAAATATCACCAAAGTTCAATCAATAACACAGGAGACATCTCAGTCTGGATCACCCCACATCTATGCAAACCTCAGATTTGTACAGTGTTGGTCATTTATTTCAAAGATGGGTCAAAATACAAACATGCACAATGGAAGAAGGTGCCTGGAAAGATGAAGGGGATGTTTAAAACACAAATAAAGATAGCAAGGATGAGAGTATAAAGGAAAATACTAATGAGAACAAGCACTGTGAGATGTGTACGTACATCTGGGAGCAGTACGGTTGGCAGGGCGTTACAGGATGAATAGCTCCGATGGCTGAGAAGAGGCCCTGGCCCTATACAGTAAGATGACTTTACTGTCAAAGCCTGCATTCATCTGGCAAGAAGACAGGGGTTGGGGTGGGGAACAGATGATAGAACTCTGTTTTCTTTGATATAGCAATTGGGACTTGAATTATAGAAAGCGGTCTTAGGAATAGTCAACATCAGATCCTAGAATACTACCTCTGAGGAAACCATGCATTATCATAAGACTCCCAAAGTGATGTTAGGGAAAGGAGAGTTCCTAGCAGACTACAGGAAAAGACAAAAAAATAAAGGATAAGCAATGGGGGAATGGCAGCAAGAAGTGTGCTGATGTGTTTCCTAGTGGCATCACAGACAATAAGGTACAGCTCGTAATAAAACATGGTACATCTGGCTACAATGGGGACATGAAAATACTATAAATGTTCATGCTTGAAGATTGCTGAACTAAATAATTTACGTAACTTCCTATATTTTACATGACACATTTAAATATGCAACACTGCATTTACAGGCTGCCTACTTGACCATATTTTTCTAGTTATGCATCTCTGGCCCCAAGTAAGACTACAAACCTGCTTGGAGATAACCAGTAGCATGCTGTTTCACAACTTTAAAAATCAAAAGTAGTATTATTTTCACCCTTTCCATTTTACAGAAGAGTGGCTGCCTAACTCTCCTCAGGACTTCTCTACATATTGATGCCCTTAGTGAAAAACTAGGCTACAGGCCAGCCCTAAAAACAGGTCTTTCTGATGCTATGGCTCCCAGTCAAATACCGTGGTCACCAGACACCAGACGTAGTCTCGCTGTGGACAGCTGACTTACCCACAGCTCCCAGTGACACCAGGATGTTCTCTCGAGACTCGATGTTCTTATCGTAAGGGCGATATCCAAAGAGGTGGGCAGCACTGTTTACCAGCCAGGTGGCATTGAGCACTACGGCATAGCGCAGGAAGGTGGAGACAAACACGCTGTGTAGAAAAGTTTCACCCCAGCAATACCAGGGGACTAGCGTGGGCAGGATGAAACACATCAATAGGAGACCGGGCTTGTAGTACCTACATAGGAAGAATCAGCAGAATCTGTGGAGGGAGGACACTTACACTTCTCTGAGGGCTCCTTCCCACTAGCCTGGGCTGTCTTTTCTCCACCAAAAAGAGCACAGAAAACTAACATGAAGAAACCAACATGAAGACGGGGTGGAAAAGCTTTCGGACATAGCATTCTTTACGTTTCACAGAGGCAGCAATGTGAACATGTTTAGTGACTTTTCTAGGGTCACTCCACTGGGAAACAATGGAAGAGTGATAGGAATACCTGTCCTCTGACTTGAAATACATTCTCCTTCTTCACAAGAGTATAAACCCAGGTTGGTCAAATCAGAGTCACCAGCCCAGTTCTGCTGCCTAAACTGCTGCTCCCCTCCTTGGAGAGTGTGGGAAGTGTTCTGCCTGTTCCCTTTGCCCTACCTTTCCCTTAGAGGCAGAGTATGCCACATCCCTTTAGGCCTCAGTCCCTCCACAGGTCCCAGCCCATTCACCACCCTCACAGAGCTGACCACTGACACTGCAAGGGAACCAGTGGCCCGCATCTCTCCTGCATTTGACGCCGATGCCACTGCTACTGCCTGCGTCCAGCTTCTTCCCTTGCTGCCTCTGCTTCCTCAGCCTGGCATGTCCCTACCTTCTACCACATGTCCGCAGCACCATCCCTGTCCTGAGAGCAGCCTGTGTGCAGCACATTTTCATGCAGGAGAAACCCACAGTGCTTCTGTCACAACTGAACCAAATCCTGATCTGCACACAGGACTCTCTGTGATGGCCTAAGTTTGCAGTCTTTTCCCTGTCAAGGCCCTTATTTTGGCAGACGGGCCTAGCTCCTGGATCGTGATAGCTCATTCTGTTCTTCCTTTTGCACTGTCCCTGCCCACATACATGTAAATGTCTCTAGCCTGTGGATTCTGATGCTATTTTTTTCATAAATCTTTTCCCCGAGTTGCCCATGGAGATCCTTCTCCACGGAACCCCTCAGGATACAGAGAGCATTCTGGATTGTGGTTATTTGGGCCTGGGCTTATCATTCCACTTGTAATTGGCTACAGATGACTTGCAGGGAAGGACTCAACTATATTCACTTTTGTGTCCATCACTATTCTAAGACAGTGAGCATTTGTCGTGTTAGTTGATTTCATTAAGGTAACTCAGAGAAAGGGGCAGAACAATAAATTAAGGGTGAGAGCCTGTAAGTTATTAAAAACTGGGGTTTTATATGATTTTAAACATGCAAACCCAATACATTCCTCAGCTTTTATTTTACAAGTCCTGAGGAAAAAGGTTGGGTCCCCAGCCTGGGTGCCCAAGGCTACAGTCCCCATGCCATCCTGCCTTCACTCACCTTCTCTGGAACATCACCAGTTTCTCAGCCTTTAGATCAGACATGTCCAGCAAACCGCCCTTCTCTTTAACAGCTGGGTGTTTGCGCACAAGCAGCCAGCCCACGTGAGAGAAGAAAAAGCCACGCCTGGAATTGTGAGGGTCCGCGTGCGTTTCTGAGAACTTGTGGTGGGCACGATGGTCTCGGGCCCATTCATACACATCATTCTGGAGGGCAGGGAAGGAGAACAGAGGCCTGAAGAGACATGTCTTCCAGGGAGGACACATGCCAGGAGACTGCATGGGCTCACTGCATTGGCCCAGCCTTGCAGCATCCCCAAGAGTCTGGCTCCAGAGGGGGCACAAAGGAGATGCCTGACTCTGCATGCCTGCTTGAAAGTTTACAGGAAAAGCACCTTATAGCCCACATCCACGGGAACAGCACTGCTGCATTCTCAAGGCTGTGTGTGGGGAAAATGGAGGTGAATCCAGCACTCAGCTGCATTAGGAAAGAACCCTCTGGAATGTGGGACAGGTCCTCACGGGGCCCCTGCTCTCTGGGCATAGGGAGAGTGAGGCAGGCACGGAAGGTCCAACGGGACCGTCCCGATGCCCTCCTGAGTTCACCCAACCCCATAACAAGGCTATGGGTAGGTAATTCACAAGGACTTCGGGGCTTATTTGGGATTTTTTCCTCCATTCAAAAATGTTCCAATATCTCTTTCTTTCCGTGTCTCACAAGAACACCATCGTCAGCCTCCAATTTAAAGTTGCTTAGGAAGAGGTGAGTATGTAAAGGTGGTATGCTCTGGGAACCCAGTCCAAAGGGGCTGATTTGGCTTCCTGTTTTCCCCTTGCAGCAAGCTAAGCTTTGAGCCAGGAGCTGTCTTTTGTCCACCGCTAGACCCTGCAGCTGTGACAGTGTCCTCCTGAACCCCTTCAACCGTCTCTCACAAATTTGTAGTTTGAATCAAGCCTAGTGCTTGGCTTAGCCAAAGTGGCAACCCAGACAGCACAACACTAGTGTCACAACTTCTCAGTGACTCAGTTTTCTCATCTCTCAAATGGAAATAACACTGGGACTTATTTCCCAAAATGGCATGAATGTTTGAAGAATCAGCCTACAGCAAGTGCTTAGCACAGAACCTGGCACATGGCTGGTGCAGCAGAGGTGTTTGTTTGCTGTTCGTACCTGTGATACATCACCTTCTATGCTCCTGTGTGTGTATATGGTCCTAGGAGTTCTTGTGATGTGAGTTCGGTGCCCACTTTCTGTTCAGGAAAACTAACTCAGCACCTGGCTTTATGACTTGGCCCTTACACTGAGGACAGCAGCTATGCTGTGCTAACAAATGCACATCGGGGTAAAAATAAATCTGTACCTCAGATATGGCCCATTCCCTGCACATCTGCCATCCCAGTGACTCTAAAGCTCCCAAGGATTGATGGAGCACAGCGCTGAGGTGACCACAGTAGATGAGAAAAGATATGGCCACTCTATCAGGACTCCTCTCTGAGTACTGATCCCCTCTCCTGTGCCATGAATAGGGTGGGGCAGGACAGCTCAGCAGTGCCAGCTTCTTACTTGGAAGGCCATGGTGTTGGCAATGATCAGGAAGACCCTCAGAGGCAGGCGCGCTTTGTAAGTTCGGTGACTCCATAGGCGATGGGCTCCTGCGGTGATTCCCAGGGCACTGATGACATAGTACAGGTATGCTGCCAGGACAAGACGTGGGAGTCAGCAATACACAAAGCCCACCTGGGTGAACAACCTGAGGATATGCTTCTCATGTCACAGTCTTCTTCATGCTTTGGCTGAAGATGCCCTTTCCCCTGAACCCAAGCTGTTGGCATTCAAAACAACAACAAAAAATAAACCCAGAAAAACCCCCATCACCTCTCAGCTTCTCTACCTGCAAATGGAGAAAAGCTCAGAAATGCCAGTAATGAAGGAGGCAGAAAGGGGTTGAGGGAATAAGGCTTTCACCACCGAGCCACTTATCAGTCTGCAGAGGCACTGGCCCAGGGCCTTTCTCCTTTGACTGTCATTAAGGTGCTCAGGGCCCAAATTACTCTGGCAGAGTTTAGAAAGCAATGAGCAAAGGCATTCTGAAAATGACAGCTCAAGAAATCTGGGCACTGACCAAGTGGAGGAGCCCTGTGTGGGGGAAGACACTAGGGACACAATGCTGAGGTGATTTATTAGCTGGTTAAAGCATGTTGGTATCGCAGCAAGCAGCGTGGCTGGACAGGGAACACAGTGCTGACAGCCATGTTTCCATTGGCTGAAGCATCACCAAGGATGCTTATATTCTCGGATGCACTACACACCTTGCATGGGTTAGGGGCTCATAATACTACACATCCCAGTCAAGGAAACAGATGATGTGTGTAATTGGTATCACAGAATAAAACTAAAAAACCTAGGTTTTCTGCAACCATCCAGCTCGTGCTGCAGACCTACCACACCCTACACAGCCTCTGCCCAGTTCCCAGGCCTCTCCTTTGCCTCATCCCTCTGCCAGCCAACTGCCCAGCACCAGTCCTAGACAACTCTGGGACACTGTCTTGCCTCACTACCCTGCAGGTCTGCAGTCAAGAGGTACCCTGCCCTTTCTAACAGGAAAGGCATGCAGGGTATACCCACCCCTTCCTCTGATTGGTCACCAGAGGCAGGGGGTGAGGCCCTACTGGAAACTGTTAATAATAATGTGTCATTCCTTGGGGGCAGCTGAAAACAATAGATCCTCAGTGGCCACAGAATTTAGTTGTGATCAGACACACCACACATTGTGACAAACTGTTCTGTGTTCTCTGGACAGAGATAAGTTTTCAAACAGCCTCCTCTCTCCCTCTTCCCTTCTGTACCTGGTTCTGTCCCTCCTACAGGATCCCCAGGAAAGTTCCAGTGCCCACATCCGTCCAGGGCAAGTTGTGGCACAATTCCTCTGACTGGGCTCAAGGGCGCAGGTGATTGACAGAACCTGGCCGTCCATTGACTGACAAGCCATGAGCAGCCTTGATCTTTAGCATCTGGCTGCACCTGTTCTTGAAAAACTGCCAGGGGCCAGAGCCCTGGAATCTCCAGGAAAAGGCTTTGGGCTAGGCAGGAAGCTGGGCTACACAGTGAGTTTAAGACCATCCTGAACTATGCAGCGAATCCCTATCTCAAACAAAACAAAACAAACAAACAAACAAAAAAAAAGGGTGGGGGGAGGCTTTGGGTGAAGCAAAAGCACTCAAGGGCCAAGGACACACAACCATTGATTTCATGCTGCACTGGCTCTGTAAGTACCTGGACCCCACACTGACAGGGGAATAGGGACACTGGGAAAAGAATCCAGGCACACTGGTTCCATTCTAACCCACACTGCTGGTTCTGTCCAGAAGACTTGGGTCAGGTAGACACATCCTCCCTTTGCCTCAGGAAAGAACTGTTAAAGCACCACATCACAGCTTTTCCCTGTGGAGAAGACAGGGGTCTCCCCACAACACCATCAGTTCAGGGAGGGGCATCACTTCATCCCTGTCCCAAAGGCTCCTGTAGAGTCTACAAAACATCAAACTCCCAGAGAGCTGAGAAGGAGAAACGCTGAGATAACACAGTTACCTGAGGAATAACCCTTCTGATTCTACAGAAGGTAGTGACATCCTCACTTGGGACACTTAAAATGGGGTTTCTGAGAAAAAGGGGCTTCCTGCTTCTAGGAAATTTCCCAGCCCAGAGCTCCAGGGGCCAGACCTTGCTATCTACAACACCTAAAATGCCCAAGAGACAACAAACCCCGTGCCACCCACTTTTACAGAAGTACCCTGCAGCACTCATGTAAAAGACTTCCAGGCATGTTCTGCTGGGTGTCCTGCTCAGGGACCTCAAAGAGCTGGGAGGGGCCTGGGCCTGGAGAGTTCTCCACCCCCTCTCCCCAGCCTGTAGCTCACAGGTGTGGCTCCTAGATGCCAGCACCACACCTGGGATCCCGGCCAGAGCTGCACCATGGGCAGGTCAGGACAAGGTAGGGACCATCTGCCTCACTAACAGAACTGCTCAAGGCTCTCTTCTCCAGCCTGGCTGCCCCTGTCTAAGAGGGTGTGTGTGGATGGAGAGGACAGGTGACAGAAGTGCTGGGGCCTTGGCAAGGCTGCAACCTCAAGAGAAAGGGGCTGGAGCCAGCAGCTAGGGAGCTGACAGGAGACACTGCCAGTTTCACTCTGAGACCTGACTGTGCTGTACTGTGGAGACCTGCCGGCAGTGGCAGAGCAACACATCTGTGCAATTGGGTCATACAGGGGCTGTTATCATCTCCCTCTGTGACAAACTGGCCAGGCCCAAATAGTGTACAGTTGTGAGACAGGGTCTGCTATGTAGTTCAGGCTGGTCTCGACCTCTAGACAATCTTCCTGCCTCAGCCTCCTGAATGCTGGGATTGTAGGAATGCACTACCATGCCCATCATCAGATAGTGTAGTTTTGTGTTCTTTTCAATGATCTCCTTTTCTGGGCAGTTTCCTCTCACACTGTCCCCTGACTGGTTCCACATAGAGTCTGTGAAGCCCACACTCTAGCACCAAGTGCCCCTCTTGCATATGCCACAGGAAAGGCTTTGGTTCTCTTCGGCAGACACCTGGGACAGGCAGCCCTGCCAGCAGTTCAGTCAGCAGAGCTTTTCCAAGCACAGCTGCTTCTTTACCTCAAAGGCCCTTCGCAGGGCCTGGGACTCATTCCTCAGCACTCCTGCTAAGGGTCCCCTAAGCCAGACACGCCTGTACCCTTACCCCACCGGACTGTATTCTCAGGCCACCCTAAAGACATGGCTGGGAACCCCACCTATCAATAGCAGCCAGAACTCTGGGTACTGGCTGGGGAACAGGGCACCTGCTTACCCCACAGGATCGTGTAGAACTTGCAGGTGGGAAGCAGGGTGATTCCATACAGGGCTCCCATGTGCAGCAGCGCCATCAGGATAATGTTTCTCCAGACATACTCCAGTTTGGGCAGGGGACCTTCTTCGTCCTGGTAGCTGGGGTCGTGTATGTCATCTTTTATTTCAGGGCGGATTTCTGCTCCAATGTACTGGGGAGCCTTCTCCAACTTCTGCACTCCATTCTGCAGGCCTCCAGAGGCAGGGGCTGTAATGGTGGTGGTGGTGGTGTAGGAGCCTGACATCTGGAAGGAGAAGAGTTGGGAGAGGGTGAACAAGTGTGGGGAAGGTAGGGAGTCAGCTGGGTGCTGCTACTGGGAGAGGGGTGCTAAGGCACAGTCCTGCCCAGGACAGAAGTTACCTAGGAGTGGGGTGCACCCTGAGAAGGAATGTTGCAGGCACTGTGCAGAGATTAGGAGTGAAACCTTAAGGTGAAGAGGCAGAGAGTGAAGCTGAAAGTCTTGAGCCTTAGCAAGGCACAAAGGAAATCTAGTGTACATAAAGGTCCAGGCACGACCGCATTTTTTTGTACTTTCAACCTTAAGAGTTGGGCGTGGCAGTACATGTCTGTAATCTCAGCAGCAGAAGAATCGCCATAAGTTCGAGGCCAACCTGGGATACACAGTGAGTTCAAGGCCAGCCAGGACTACACGACAGACCCTCAAAACAACAAAACTCAAAAAGTAAGGGTTGGGGAATCAGCCTTTCCAGTTACAATCCATACCATACCGCGGCAGGCCGTACAGCTCCGAAGATGTCCAAATGCTCGCCAGTGCTTCCCGACTCGCCCCCATGCGAGTCAGCAGAAGCACCATCTAGCCTGCTACCGCTCGGCGGCTCGGTCCCGGGGAGCTCACCTCCTGCAGCATGTGGGCTGGCATCTCAGCTCTCGGTTGCTAGGCTGGCCTCCCCCGGCTGAGGCTGCGGAAAGTGGTACCTAGGGGCTGAGGGTGGACTTCGGTTCCAGAGGCCGCTTCTGCGAGGCGATCCGGTGGAGCCGTGCGCCGAGCTGCTGCGCCTTGCACGCGGCCGGGCCCGAGTCTGCCCCGCCTGTGTGCGGGCCTTCGGGTCGGGGATTTAAAGGGCAGCGCTGGCGACAGCAAATCCGAATTTCCTTAGACCTCCTTTATCGGCTGCCAAGGAGGGCAAAGTGTGCAGAACTGGCCGGCTCGGGCACCCTGCGTGCAATGAGGGGGAGAGATGGCACCTCGAGCTCAGGAGCGCGCCGACCGTAGCAGAGCCGGGATGCTGCGGCCTCAACACCCGCGCCTCGGCCCCTGCCTCCGGGGAAATGCTAATGACTCGGGAAAGCTGCTGCTTGCCATTGGCCGAGGGGAATTTGGTGCCACCTCGTTCCGCCGCTGCCATTGGTTCCGAGCAATCTGCTGTTTCTTCTGCCGCGGCTCCTCGCTCCCCTCCCCTCTTTTCTTGTCTACTTCCAAACCCCGCGGTCCGCGGCGGCCCCGGTTCGCGGCCTGTGGCGCTTGGAGGTCCCTGCGCGGGAGCGGTCGGCTGGGCAGGGGCCCGAGAGCAAACCGGCCCTCCATTCGCGCCTAAGGCGCAAGGGTGAGCAGGGGCGAGACTTCACAGGGAACCGAGCAAAGGAGCGCTGCATCGGGGATTCCCATCCCAGACACGTGGGAGGGAGGCCGCCCTCCCCTGGAAGGCGGCGGAAGCAGGGGCTCGGGCACAGCAACCTACGACGCGGCCCCGCCCACCGGCCTGGGGCGCCCGAACCCGCCTCGCGCCCACGGACGACGTGAGCGCCTGCACGCGCGCACCGCTCCACGCTCTGCCGCCGCGGGCCCTTGGGGCGCGACACTGCCCAGAGGGAAGAAAAAGGATAGGTAGCTGGCACTGCCGAAGACTTTGAAAATAGTGCTGGAAAGGGTGGGAAGAGCAAACTTTTTTTTTTCCTTTTTGCGCTAGTGGGGCTTGAACCCAGGATCTTCACAGGGAGCGGCATCCCTATCCCCTCTTTATTCTGAGGCAGAGTTTTGCTCACTTAAATTGCTCAAACTTGTTATCCTCCTGCTTTGGCTGCGATTACAGGCGGGTGCCACTACAATCAGCTGAGACAAAAAAATTTTTTTTCTTTTTTTGAGACATAGTTTCGCTATTAGGCCAGGCTGGCCTTGAACTCGCTGGTTATCAGTGCTGGGATTACAGGCATGCACCACCACACCCAGCGAGTTGAGATAAACCTTTACTGCTAGGATAAACATTCACAAGCATATTCACCACTTCATATATATAATATTGTAAAATATACAATATTTTATTACATTAATAAAACAATATAAATGATCAATAATGGCAGATTATGATACAGCTATATCATATTCTATTGGATATATTTATTGCACATATACATGTAAGTTTCTATGCTATTACCATAATGTCCCAACACCAAAAATAAGTAGTGTAACAGATTGAAAAGTGGCGGTGGACGCTTTCAAGGCATGAGGAAGTCCCGGATTCCAGCTGGAGCACTTTGGGGAAAAAGTATATTGCATCTCTAATTATATTGGAATATGTTTGTACTGTGTTGCTGTTTACATATAAGGGTGAAGAAATACCCTTATGTGATCTCAACAGGGTGAAACCATATTATGGAAGAGAGGGAAAATATTAAGCTGAGATCCTGCTGCTGAAATTTATAGACACCGGGTAACCGCTGGCAATTTAATTTATTTTGTGAATTTTAATTGCTTTGTCTACAAAATGGGGGTAATGTTTGTTTTGGCAGATAATTGCAAATGTTTAATAGTTCAAAAAGATGATCAGTAGGTGAGCTGCCCTTGGTTTTACTGTGAATGCGCTCTTCCAGCCTGAATTTCCCTATCTTACCAGTCTAACTTCTGTCTTCCTCGAGATTACATTCTCACTGACTCCGATGCTTGATCTCGTCACGGGTTCAAGCGGCAGTAACTCCTACGGATTTCTTTCTTTCTTTCTTTTTTTTAATCGGTACCGTGAGTCAAACTCAAGACCACGCGCTTGCAAGGCAGGCGCTTATGCCGCTGAGCTAAATCCTCAACCCCAACTCCTACCGATTTCTAAACATGCTCTGTCCTCACAAATTTTTCTTCTGCTGCACTTTCCCTTTCAAAATGTGCCCAGTGACTCGACTCTTATATGCATACCTAAAAGTGTGAAAGCAGGTGTGCACACAAACTTGAATATAAAATTCATAGTGCTTATTTATAACAGCAAAAGTGTAAATGTACTATGCAAACATCCATGACTGATGGATAAATAAGAAGTGACATAGCCACAAAGTGGAGTATTATTTAGCAACAAAAAAGAATGGAAGCTGGAAATGGCACTACCAGTCCAGGAATGTGAGATAGGAGGATCACAAGGTCCAGTTCCATTTGGGAAATGTGATGTTTCAAAATTAAAAACAGGTGAAGGCTCTGTGTTCAATCTCCAGCACCACCAAAAAAAAAAAAAAAAAAAAAAAAAAAAAAAGTACTGGTAGTCCTACAACAGAAGTGAATCTTGAAAATAGAATTCCAAGTGAAAAAATCAAATTGCAAAGGACCACATATTACATAGTTCTATCTATGTGAAATATCCATAGTAGGAAGTTTTATGGAGGCAGAAGCAGATTGTTTCTGCCCAGAGGTGGAAGAGAAGAGGGAAGAGGGAGGGAACATCTAAGGCACACAGGACTGGTGTGGAGATTTTAAAATTGACTTTAGTGACTACCTAGGAGTATGCCACCAGCCGTTAAGTTATGTGATTTAAAAGAGTGAATTGTGTAGTATAAAACATGTGTCTCAGAAATCCTTCTATCCTTGGTGCTGTGAGCCACTGCAGATCCTGAGATGGTCATCTTGCCTAATTAAACATGCATACTAAGGCATGTGGTTATGTAAGCAGCCTCACAAACCTGTCTATCCATGCAGTGCATGGCATGGTGGTACTGGAACAGGAGATCAGAGCTGCAGAAATCATTCTCACAACTGTAGGCCTATCATCAGACTTTCCTGTGACATTGGGTGACTTGGGGAGGGAAGAAGGGAAGCCAGCACCTGCTCATGTCCTAGCAGGGCCCCAGCCAGTTACCTGCCGGCTCTGGCCTGTCCTGGCCTTCAAGCTGAGTCCTAGGTAGCAGGAACCCAGAAAGATGGTGCAAGTGGACTCCCTCTCCTGGCCCATGCTAGACCCCAGGCTAATCTGCCCTCCTGCAGCCTGTCTGGGCATCAATGGCTTTCAGAGGAGAGGGGGAAAAATAAACCATGGGACCTCTGCTGCTGTGAACATGGATTCACTCATTCAGCACATGGGATTTTTTGTTTGTTTGTTTGTTGTTTTTGAGACAGTCTCACTACATAGTAGAGGTTGGTCTTGAACTAACTATATAGCCCACGCTCAAACTCATGGTGATCCTCCCACCTCAGCCTCCCAAGTACTGACATTACAGGTATGCACTGCCATGCCAGCCTTCAGCACGTTTATGGAACACTTCACAGTCCCAGGCTCAGGGTCAGAGCTGAAGTCACGGGAGCTTCTCTTGGGCAGTTTACACCATAGAGGAGATCTCTATGTCTCCAACTGCCAGAACTCAGTATGGCACCTTAGACTCTGGAGGGAAGGCAGAGAGGCCAGACTGAGCAGGGAGAAGCAGGAAAACTACCTGGTGAAGATGATGATATGAAATCCCAAGGACCACTGAGGTCAAGTGTGGAGAAAAGCAGGTGACCCTTTAGAGGCTCACTTAAGGGTGACTCTGTCTAGGGTGATGCTTCACCAGTGAGGACCCTTGTCCCTGACTCCATTGTTCTTGAACCCCAAGCAAGAGGGTGGGCACTGTGGGTCTCCTGCTGGGTGACTCTGATCCAGAAGAGACTAAGTGCTCACCTCCCCCTCCACCCCAGCCTCCTCTAGGTGGCCAGACATGTGTGCCTTTGCACACAGAGTGCATTCCAGTTCCTCTCCCTGTTGTACACAGAACCAAAGTGTGCAGGTGTGCATGTGTATAAGCACACACGTGTGTGCGCACAGCCTTGTTTTCAGGCACATGATGTGAACGAGAGTGTAGCTTCTACTGGGCCATTTTGGCATCTGGTAACTACTCTGCAGATCAGAGTGCATGACCAGGACAGCTAGTGTCTCAGGGCCTGGCTGTGAGTCAGGATGGCAGCCTAAACAGGTGGGACCTGAGGACAAAGCTTTCATGATAGTCCCAAGGCTGGAGATTTCCACTGTGACCTGACCTAGCAAGACAGCTCTTTATAGACCTCAGTCTCTCTCTCTCTCTCTTCTCAGGAGTCCTGCTAGAACCTTTCCCCAGCCTGGAGAGCCAGCTGCACCAAGTGCTTCACTGAGGATGGACACAGCGAAGACAGGCAGATCCAGGCCCACTGCCATAAATGACAGCAAATAAACTGAAAGTCCTTCTTGTTCTGACTCAAATTCTGGGCCAAAGTAAGGACAGAGGGGACTCACCCACTTCTGCCTTTATGGTCACAGAGAGGCCAAGAGCACCCAGAGGAAGGTCCCAGCTGTCCTGCAGAGTTCTGAAGCACTGCCTCTCTGCCCTCCATGGGTGCAAGAAACAAGTCCCAATCATTCTCGCCGCCTCAGTCCGAATTCTTGCTCCTCTCCACTCTCTTCCCTCTCTAGCTGCTTCCCTACAAGGCATCCATCTAGATTCAGCTGCCAAAGGAACACCAGCCACCATCCCCCTCTCCCCAACCTTCCCTTTGCCCTAAAGTAACCTTGCTCATACTGATGTCACCCTTGCTTTGCACTGACAAGGCACTGAGCCAGCTGCAGCAAGGCTACATAGTCCAGAGGGCAGCTGGCCATGCCCACGCCTTGCTGCCCCTGAGCATTTTCCCGCCAGGGGCCTGTATTGCCCTCATCCCATCCCAGGTGCCAAGCTATCCACCCGGGAACTGAGTGTTGACAGAGCCTGTGCTATGCTCATCAGAAAGTCAATGCTCCACTCTGTGTGCAGAACACAGCCCAAGCTCTGCTGCCCCTCTGGGAGCACACACATTTCTAAGAGAAATGGGACAAAGCACAATAGCAAAGAACACAGGCCAGCATCTGACGGGCGCAGACTGGTAATATTAGATGGGATGGGAATTCAGGAAGGGAGAGGAGCCCTTCTTAATAAGGGAGTGCCTAGTGTTGGGCAGAACAACAGAATAGCTTGAGCAGAGCAACATAGCAGTAGTTTTTAAATTCTACTTATGTAGACTATGCTCAATGCGCTGCCAATCTAGTGATATTTATCTCCCTCACACCCTCCTTTCCAAGGCTCAGCAAAGGTTGCCAGGGTGGGGCCTAATGGGAACATACCAGAACCTGCCACCTGCTAAGTGTGAGCAGGAACTGCCCATATCTTGCCCGGTAAGTAGCTCTTTCCAACCACAGAAGAAACATGCTAAGCAGGGAGATGGAGGCACACTCACCCAGCTTTACTTCTGCCAGTCCCACCACCGCCCATCCCTGCCCGGAGCTCCACTCTTGGCTGGTGGTAACTGTGGTCCTGGCTGCAGACTAAGTGCTGTTTGGAAGGCCTACCAGGCATCTTTTTTTCACTCTGATGCTCAGCTCCACCTTCTTTCTGGTCTCTCCTGGCCCAAGAGGGCAAATGGAAAAATCCTACACTGGTCCTCAGCTTTGCCTCTGGCATCCAAGGTGTAAGTGAGTGCAATCCCAATGGGTTTTTGGGCCTTTCTCTGCTATTCCCCTATCAGGGGTTCTCTGGGTTTGTAATGCTGTCTCACTGGGGAATATGCCCATGGAGGCCTTGGTTTCTCCACATCCTACTTTCTTCTCCAGAAAGCTAACAGAATCCATCCCCTTTCACCGAGGGGCCAGCTAGGTGCAGGAATTCAAGTTCAGAGCCTTCAGCCCCACCTCAGTTCTTCCAGCCTCAAGAGCCTTGCAGGTACTCCAAAGGGACCAGAAATCTGTCATTGCTCAGGATGTGCCACATCCAGTATCCCTGCCTCTCTGACATCCTGGTCACCAAGCTTCTACTTTCCACTAGTAGCTGCCAGCATCCTCTTCCTGACTCACAAGAGCCACCCAGCCCTGGCAAAGCAGAAGCCACAACCTAACTGATGAACCAGGTGCCAGAAAGGGCCTCTGAGAAGCAGGGCCCTCGGAAGGCAGTGGTGCTTCATAGTCCTGCCAGGTGAGGGGCACTTGGCCTGTGGATAGGGTAGAAGCCAACAGCCAGTTCAGATCTTACATGAGAAGGAGGCAGAGGCAGAGAGATGGAAGAGCTAGTGCTTGCCTGATTCATCCAGCAGAGGAGGAACACAGTCCTGTCCAGGGGAGGGCAGAGTTCATGTTCTTGTCACTGGGGAGATTGGGAGAAAGCACAGGACGGAGACTGGAGGGGGAAGCAGACAGGGCTCTTGGCAAAGACTTCTGAAGGCTGAGGTTACCCCTTTCTCTAAAGGAAGCCTGAGGTCACATCGAGGCTCCATCCCCAGACATCTACACAGGGAATGTCATTGGCTAAAAGCAGCCACCTGAAGTTGCACCTCCCACCCAAAGCAGCCCAGCCAATAATGGAGGTTGACACACTGGTTCTTTGAAGAACATGAGACCCTCCAAAAGCCATGGGTCATGGCACTCCAAAAGTCTTAGCAATCCTCCCTTAAGCTTCAGTGGTTCACTCCCACCTCTCCTTGTTCACTCAGGGTCAGGTGCAGATCCTGGCTGACATCCCCACTCATGTCCTCAAACCACTGTTCCCCTTCCTGAAACCCTAGCACACTTGTCTGGCCTTGGTATCTATCCTAGAAGACCCAGCTTCCCACACCAGACTACTTATGAGGCTTCTACCTTGATGGAACCCGTGCCGTAGGGCCTGCTGGAAGGGCCGGATGTGAGTTACAGAGTTACCAAGAGCAGAGGAGTAAATCCAGGACGGGGCTGGGGTGCCAGACTGTGCCTAGATTGGATAGCCCCTGAGCTCACAGCCCTCCACACTGGCAATTCCGCTTTCCCGCCGCTGATAAGAGGGGTCCTCCACCTCTATGGGGATGATGCGAGGGTCCTGCTGCCACCTTGTGGTCGTGGCAGGCACAGCATCTACGTGGCTTGCCATGCTGTGAGATTGGGCTGGAGAGGGCAGATGTGAGGATTTTTTTCTGATGTTTGTGGTTCTAGTTCTCCCTCAGACATAGTAGGAATGCTGACCTCAAAACTTAACACTCAGAATTTCTTTGCTTAAAACCAGCACCACAGCTACACACAGGTTTGATAAATCCTGCATGAAATGCCATGACTGCTGCCCTGGCAGAGTGCTAGTGTGGTGAACGCAGCTAGCTGCGAAGTTTTCTGAGTCTGGGGCTTTTAGACATAATATTTTTGGGTGAATATGAAAGTACTCATAATCACTAGAAAAAAAGAGATGGAAAAGCATCTGTAATAGTCTGTTGTTTAAATTCCTTTTCTTCTATGCGTGTACATAAGTATAACATATGCATAAAGTGGATTCTGTTACATTATAGGTATCAGTGCCAGAAATTTCCATGCCACAGCAATGAGTGTTTTTTCATTAAACATTTAAACATTTAAAATAGTGTTAATTTCTATGCAATCACTCACAGAGTGAATGTATCAAACTTGTGTCATTCTTGGTTTAACAGCAACAACCCATGTCCCAGTGACAGTGCCAACAGAACCCTGCCTGAAGACATTTACTTTACCATGAGCCACAAGCAGCCAGCAAAACAACAGATGTTATAGGAAGATAATTGAATTAAATATGCTTGTGCTTTGGCGAATATAGTTTTGTAAAGCTTTATATATTCTAGAATTTAATCTTGAAGTAGTGTTTAAGATCACTGGGACAGGGATTACCATTAACATTTTGCAGATGGGTAGAACAGCTTCAAAAGCAACTTGTCCTGAACCGTGTATCACTAGTAAGTCACCAAGCCAACAGTTGAATTAAACCTATGAGTTTAATTCAACTTCGAAGTCCTGACTCTGAGGTTTCACTGAAATGATGAGGAGGCAGCATAAGCCTCAGGTCCCTCCTGACATGGTCTGTCTTTTTCAACAGGAAAAACTAACAGCCTGAGATTGGAAGCCAAGCATAGCCACACAGCCCTCTTTTCTGCACTCTTGGATGAGGCAGGGACAGATAGCAGGTCCCAGCCCCACCCATGGAACTTTCAGACTTAATGACAAAGTAAAAATATAAATAATGGGCTGGGAATTGGACCTCAGTGTGAAAGCCATGGGTTTGAGTCTCAGTACTGAGGGGGAGAAAAGAAGCCCGTCAAGGCGAGAGGATGTGTAGAAGTACTGGACACAAAATTATCAGGGAGACTCCACAATTACCATAGTGTTTACTTCCAGGGGAAGTTTAAACGTCATTGAAATGCTGAGGACATTCAAACCATTTGTATAATCTTTCTCCTGGGGACATATGGGCTGATCACACATGAAGCGAGCGCTCAACATGGAACAGAAAAACAGCAGGCTGCATCCTAGCCCAGTAGGTGACCAATTTGGCCTGGCCTTGAGCTCTTGGGATGTAGAGACTTGTCACATGTTGAACCTCCCAAGCCCACTGAAAGCCCTACTGACCACACACTGCCCCCCAAAATCAGAATTACCCAAAGGGAAACCATCTCCTGTGACTCTTCTGCCCACACTGTTGGCTTTCTGGTCCTCACGTCTGCCCTGAGGTCCAGTTTTGCAAGTTCAGTGCCCTTGTACAATTGTTCAAAGGTCTTATGGGTAAAAGACAATAGCTCTGCTTTCCTTCTGAGCTGCTTAAACACAGGCAATCAACACTGGTACAGTTTTTCACTCCCCCTCAGAAAGGCAAGCGTCTCAGAGTACACCCCACTGGTACAGAGGAGAGACAGGCACTTGGCCACCCAGGAAGATTCCCAAAAGTCTCCAGCTCCAGACGCCCAGGAGTTTACCCTTTTCTAGTGGCTGACACAAGGATGGGACTCCAACTTTTCCAAACTCGATTTATAGGCCATGGTACACTGATTTATCGTGAGGCTCAGCTGAGCTGGAGGTAGTCTGGAAGCAGGAACTCCTTATAGGGGCACTCTAGACTGGACAACTCTACCAGATTGATGCTTTGCTGAAATTGAAGGTGGGCTTCAGTTTGTACAGCTACAGAGTAGTCCTAGGTGGGAAGAGGACAGCCCCTTGCAGCCAGCTGAGATGCAGGACTGCAAGGTGTCTCTCAGCATCAGTGAGGCCATAGCTCTTGCCCACAGGTGACTGGGACAGGTAACCAAAGGCTGGAGCTTGGCACAGGCATGAATGTGCTTGGGGGCCCATACGAGGAGTTTAGTCAGAGACTGAATGTCATGGTTTGTATCTAGATGTCCCCCAAAGCCTCATACACTCTTGGGAGGGCAGGCTTTTCATAGGTGGCTACAGCTAGAGTTTATTAATTCACGGTCTGATGCTGGGATTAGGTTGTGAGAGTTACCCTCACCCTAGGGCAGTTAGCCTGCATGCTCTATAAGGAACAGAAAGGGTCTTATTTCTCCCTTGTTGCTTTGCTCTCTTTCACCAGGGAAACCTCTACAAATTGTGAGCTAAATAAACTATCTCCCTCTAA